TTTTTTTTTTTTTTTTTTTTTTTTTTTTTTTTTTTTTTTTTTTTAAATATTTACTTACTTATTTTCTTCGACGTGCGTTTTTCACAGCGTCCAGTCCATAAGAGATGCAATTCTTTTGCCGCGACTCTGAATTTCCAGATGATTTGAATCTGTTCATTTTGATTTCATTTAGCCTATCTCCTTGTGTCATGATATACGGATCTGTAACTCTGTATTTCTGTGGAGCTCGTTCTGAATCGTTTGATCCACGGAAATTTCTTAATTTTCCTATGAATAAGCAAAGATAAAAAATTGTGTTACAATATATGTACAATATTTATTCCATGGTGTAGTTATATAGCCTAAATTCTTTCTCATTTTTAAAGTTTATTTTTTTATAAATATAACCAAAATGTTTACGATGACTTACATTTTAGTTCTATCATAGCGGCGATATATAATAAGAAAATTGCACAAGATGAACACTATCACCCGTTAGAAATTCTAATTTGAACTAACTGAAATTAGATGCACGCGCAGAATTTTCGGTACAGTATGTATATATATATAGCGGGAAAATAGACGAATTTGAATTGTTTTATTGATAATTTAAATTTGAATACAAAATATTTGCTGGAATACATTTAAATCATATTTTGTTGCATTTTTGAATCATTAGTTGTCACAAATAATGATATTTTACGTTAATTTTGATTTATTATTAAATTTCCATCTGTATTAGCTGCGCGCGCAGCTATCGATGCAGGTGAAATATCGATTAATTAATAAGAAATCAGTAATATTTATATATCTTTTCTTACGTTAAGATCTTATAAGAATAAATTTTCTACTAGTTTGTTGTTTTAATTTGAATGAATATTTTGTTCTAGTTAGATAATTATTATTAGATAATAGTTGAATATTTCTAGATGTTAATGAATCTGAGTAGCATCGATATTGAGAATCTGAATTAGCAATCGATATTGAGATGCGTGCGCATACTTTTAACGTAGTTTCGGCGCGCGACTGTTCCGTTATACACGTTTCGATGTACTCTTGAATTTTTTCGTAATTTTAGGTTTAAAATAATATTAACAGTCTTTTCCAACATGAAGATTCGAACTATTACCTGCATAATGGTATGTATTTATGTATAACAATATAATTTAATAATTTTTGTAATGTAAAAAAGCGAAATATCATATGGTAGCATTTCAAGGTCATTGTGGCCATGTTCAGTATTAAAGATTTACTTCAATTTTGATATTATTATAGAAGATTGACTTAAGAATATAATTTTTGATTAAAAAAAAAGACTTTCTATTGTTAAGAAATATTTTTATATATATATAATACTTATCAAGTACTGTGTATACTTATGTTACTCTATATATATATATATAGTATTATGTATACTTATGTTACTCTATATATATATAGTATTATGTATATTTATGTGTATATATTTATGTGTATAGTAATATAATATACTATATACAGTAATACAATATACTATATATTATGTTCTATATGTATGTACATATATTAAAAAGAAAAATTTCTTAATATTTCTTTAAAATTAAGAAATAAACAAGTAAAAAATTATTAATTGTCGGTAAGTACCTAAAATTCTTGTAAATTTCGTTTTGCCTTTTTTCTCGATCGACATATTATTACACTTATTAGGCTCTGAAACAATAAAATATTACATTAAATAATTGTAACTCTAATTTCAAATCAACATTTTTTTTTAAACATTTTTTTCTATAATTATTTTCTTTTTTCAGATCAATACTTTCTCATCGAAGCAGAAATGCAAGCTTTTTGACATGAAGAATGGAGTGGAAATCATATTTTCCATAGGTAAAATTTTTGTTAGCCTATAATAAATAGCTTTAAATAAATACTATATACCCTTTTCTCATATATTTATTGGTGGGTTTTAAATATAGAGATAAAGACTTACCTGTGCATCCTTCGTTGGATGTGTAGTGTAATTTCCTTTCCTGCTTGTCCACGATTGAGTATATTCCGCGTTTGTGATGCAATATCACATCGCCATCTCCATAATACTTCAGTCTGCGAAATAGACACACGATCACGAAACAGGTAAATATTTCTTCCTTATTTTTTTTACTAGAAATTAACAATAAAAAAAGGAATGTTTTAATATCATTTATACGTATGAAGGGAAATATGAATTACTTATATTGTTGACCAGCATTTAATAAATTTTTTTCTATATTCTCCAACCAGGCTTGTTGATGTCCAATAACTGAACCAGGCCTGCAAATTCTTATCCAAGCAATAGCTTCTCTCGCCGTCATTTTATAATGCTTTATTAAATAAGCAGCGATCAATGAACCTGTTCTTCCCAGTCCAGCCTGAAATGTTGTTTATATAGAAAATGAAAGTGTAAAGTGGAGACAGATTAGAATGTTGTTTAAAGAGCTTCGAATAACTTTGCAATGAACTGCTATTGGCCCACTGGTATTTTCGCTTAGTTGTAAAAATTCATTCAGTATTCTTCTCGGTGGTACCGTGCCGTCTGGCATGAACATATCGTAATGCGTGATTCCTACCTCAACGAATCTATTTTCAAAGCATCATTTTAATTTCATTTTAAACTTAAAACTATGAAAATTATGTCAACAGTATAACTTTGAAAAAAATGTTATTCCTTGAGTATCAGTGGAGCAATAAGTTTTAAAGATTATAAATTAATCAATATTTGCAATAAATGATATATTTTTTTTCTATAATTAAATAGTCTCATAGAGACTATTAATAATAGATTGTAAATTGGATTTTTACCTCGATGCATCGTATACTTTCTTATTCAATCTAACCACGGCTGTGACTTGGTTTTTTAAAAAATAATCAATGTAACACTCGGGCGGATGATAAGGAGTGCCTGGTTCTGTGCTTGGACCAACAAAAGCCAGGAATTTTTGTGGTACCATCCAGTTCAATCCGCCGTTTCTCATGTCTTCGTACTTTTCATACTCGAACACGTCAAAATCGCCAAAGTCAAAGAAACCGAAAGAAGCTGCTTTTTTAAGCGCGTTCAAGCAATCTGCTCTCATCAAATTAATTATACAAGAACGATTTCAATAGAATACATTTTTCAGCGTCTAATTTCTACAAATGTTATTACCTAACAAATGAATACTGTAAATGGCTGATCCCATAGAGGCATCTCGGAACGATTTTATAGGAATTTCACCTCCCATGAAAAGAATGTTGTAAGATTCTTTTGGACTTTTGTTCAAGTACAGCACCGCGTAAGAGGCAATCAAATACGCAGCATTCGCTCTTTTGTGGTCTCGTTGCAAAGTATAGTGAACGATTTGTCTATGCTCATTACCTGGGCTCTCAAGTTTCTTATTTATCTTGCAACAATATCTACAGATTAATATTATAATTTAATAGTGATCAGAATGTTTTTAGTCTCGTTGCAAATATTTTTTTGTATAATTGATTTGGCAAGCTTCGACCGATTTATTTAATCATACAATTTGTATAATATCAAACATGTACATTAAATTTTACTTGTGTAATTGAAAATATTGCAGGCAAGAGATAATACTCGAGGAAAAGCTAAACGGGTATTGTTATTTAGAAGTAGAAATGTATTTGAAATTCTTACTTGTACAAACAAGCGAGGTTCAAGGGGCCAAAGTCGTTGTAAAAATTATTGTAAATTAGCTCGTCGTCGGTCGTAAAAAAATGAATGTTGGACGTGCTTTTTACATCTTTCCGGCCGTTGCGTAACGTTGCAAAATAAAATTTGTCCTTTATATATTCGCATATGTAAGTAACATCCGGATGCTTATGAACTGTAGTAATTTCTAATAGAAAAATTTTTTGTTACCATTCATTTTATAATTACCATTTTTGTTAGCATCCATTTTACAATTACCATCTGGATTGATGTTTCTATTATCGTAACTATGATAGTTCTTTTTCGAGAATCCAAAATTTTTTTGCTCGTACATTGCGAATGGAAACGCGTTGTTCCTATACGCGAGATTATTTTCTATATACTTCACACCTCGTGAAACGACCATTTAGTATATTTTGAACCCCAATTGATCATTTGTAAATCCAAATGGAATTTATTATTGTCAAAATTCCTTCGCGATTGATCGTTGATTTTTAAAGGTGTCCCAATCATATCTTGTACAGAGACATCAATAAATGGCTGTTTTCGTTAATTTCGGGATAATGTCAAAGATTTGTTCGTTTTATTATCAAAGATAGTTTCCGATTACAAATTAACCAAACACATGATTCTCTGAGCCTAGGGAAGGAAACGATATGAAAGAGAAATAGTTTCCTTCATATCTTTCAATTTGTAGGAGATCGTGGTTTAACAATTGTGTAATACACGCACCTTGAACAATTTTTCATTTCCCAACAGAGTAAAGTCTAAGCTCTTAAATTTATCGTTGTTCGGCACGCCAAATTACTGATTTCATGTTTGTCAAAAGTCTGCGCGTTTTTCAACTTTTTCTCGTCCATCGTAAAAGCTGATTGATTGGTCATTTCTCTTAGATCATGTAATGATATGTAATGATATTTTCATAATACTAGGTTGCACCAATGTCTTGACAATTAATTTCTAATAATGTTTTAACAGGACGAGAGGCGAGAGAATGCGGCAGAAACATCAACGCACACGCTGCGAAGGGTGAGTCGAAGTTCTTCTTTCGCTCTGTCTTTCAGACATCCATTAATTAAAATGACTTTCGATGCTTTCAAAGAATTTTGTAAAAGCTCAACAATCAACTGCCATTTTGATTAATCCAAACGTATCTTTGAAAGAATGCACGCGATACAGATATATGCGAACATGTGTGCAAATCAAGGCATAAATATAAACGATATAAATTCCAATAATAACAAGAGATTACAAAGTGAAATTAAAAATTGCGATAAAGAATATAGAATCCATAGATCATAGATCAAACAGCATCAAAGGCTATTATAATACACTAATCAATGATACAATATGTAATATAATATATCAATGTATTAACAGAGTCTTTATAAAATTATTTGTATAATTTATATTATATACGGCATATTGTATATATAATTTATACTTTTATAAATACAATATGTAAATATTGTGCCTATTTACTGTACATAATTTATAATTCATATTTATTGTACTACTTTTATTACACAAACTTTGTAGTACTTGCCAAGAAATATTTAATCTGAGGTGTTTTTAATACATTTATTTTATACATTTTTTTCTTACAGTTTTTATAGTTTTTTTACAGTTTTTATATTTTTATACATTTATTATACATACATATCATACAGTCTGTAGTATATAGTGTTAGAGAGTGTGTGTGTGTGTATTTAGGGTTTAAATCAGTAATCGCAGATGATAATCTCTTTTAAATCTTTCATATTGTATACGGCAAACACATTCGTCTTTATTCATCTTGCGCAAGAGCACAAGTCTCTTTGTTCCACCGCGACGATACAATTTGTGAATGCACCGGGAAGTGGTTTAACATGCAACGTAAGTAAGGCCCAAAGCGTCTGATCGGTATTTACGATTCAAGAGAAATCTTTCGCGGGACAACGAGGCGGCTCTGTCCATCCATGTTCCATGCATCCATGTCCCTTGCGTCCGTCAATCCGTTATAATTTCTCCGTTAATAGAATCCGAGATTTCGTAGCGATCCGTGCGACGCATTCGAAATCCGCCCTGTTCTCTCTTCCTCTCTCTCTCTCTCTTCGTTGTCTTCCGTTCCTTTGCCCCTTTAACGATCGAGACATTGCTTTCTACTGTTATTTTTACACATTGTTACGGAGGAGTCTCCGTGGCTTTGCTATTTTCGTAACGTATCTCTGTATTATTGCTCGATATATCGTTCTCTCTCGAGGTTCAATCCTTTATGTATATATAATATACATAAACTAGATTTCAGCTGTCTACTGTTGAAGGTGTTCGTTTCTAAACAGAATTCCATTTATCTCTTACAGGGTTAAAGGGCAAATTAATATTTCATATAATTATAGCTATCGTATTCTGAGGATTTTCTCCACTTCATTCCAATAGTTTCGAATCGATGATCATTTGCTATGATAAAATCTGTAAAACACGTCTAGATACGTGGATTCTGTAGACAATGGAGAATTAATTCTGAATCGATGAAATTCAAAGTTGTACTTTTGTAACGTCGTTTCAGTTTACCTTTTTTGCAGCAAAATTTCGTATTTTCCTTTTTTTCACTCTTTTTGGTCCGATGATTTTCTCCATTTTGTAATTTATCAATATTCCGTGTATTTCCTTCTTTTGCAATACTGTCCACAGTTTCTTTACATCTTTCTTCCTCGGACATTCTCACGGTTTCCCCTTTCGTTTGCCTTTATCTCCCTCGTGCAAGATTTATCGTTTCAAATTTCGTTTCTCCGTTACCAAGAACGTCTCCCAGTCCCTTCATCTCTTCGATTTCTGCGTACTGTCTCCTCGCGTTCTCCATTTTCTCCCCTTTCTGCCGATAAATCTGCCCCTCTCTTCGCT